CTTTTCATCTCTTGTTCTGATTTTAAAATAACTACTAGTAATTGTTGCCGGTGGTATATGGAGGTCAAAAGTCAAGACACTGCAAACAGAGTGAATATAAATCAAGAATATATATATATATAAAAAACAGCCTTGTGAGAAAATGCTGTCAGCACTGTCCAGCCTGGGAGCAGACTCTCATGAATGCAGCCAGAAGGAAACTAATTTGGCCACCTGTTAGGCTGAATAAACAGAGGCGAGGGCAATTTGTCCAAGCAAGAAATACACATGCGCAATTACACACACACACACACAGACAAGCTGCAAAAACAATGAAGACACTTTTCTTTCCCTGTACAGACTCATGAAGGTCAAAAAGAAGCCCAGGTAAAACTGTGCAGGAAGTCATAAAGCTGAGACCTTTTCTCACTGCTCACCAAATAAGGTCTAAACCAATGGCTGTTTAAGAAAAACGTGTGCCTAACAGCAACACTAAAAAGTCCATTCAAATTTACAGCAGGTGGCTCTCGGGGTGACATGCTGTTCCACATCGCTGAAACCAGCCAGTAACTGAGAAGACGCTGCGGTGGCTAAAAGTCCGACTCTCAGACCGGGGCCCGTCACGGCTCCTGTAACAGCTGGATGTGAACCCTGTCAGCAGTAGTGTTTGTAGAGATGCTCGGGGGCACATGTCAGGGGAAATGTGAAGATTACATACAACACCAGTGCTGCAACAAACTCCTGAGCAACAGTGCCTGAGGGGATTATTGTACCTGAACATCAGGTGTCACACGCTGCAGTTATTTCACAGATCATTTATCTAAAACTTTGCTCAGTTGTATCCTGGGGAGACAGTTTGTATCTGCTGGCAATTTATGTAAAATATTTCTCTGTTATCGTGATGACTATCAGACAAGACTTTCTCCTGGTAAAATGTACAATATATGGATTTTCATACGGGACACTTTTTATTACTGCTTCTATCCCCTCTCTCACGTAGTGGTTCCCAAAGTAGGGGGCGGGACACCACTGAACGTCATTGAGGGAAGGTGAGATGCAAATAGTAAAATGACTTAATTTTCAATGTATTTCTGTATGGCTCCAAAAGTTAATGCTACCCGCCAGTGTGTGTCAATTTGGAAGTTGCTCTGCAATCAGGGTCAGGGAATCCCATGACACTGCCATCACTTGGAGAGCTGAGGAAATTATTGGCCAACAGACAGTGAAGTTTACCACAGACAGGTGGTAAATCCTAAAACCCAACGTGTGATCTGAAGAGCAACAGCCCTCAGCTGAGGCTGCAGGTGGGGTCTGTTGACAGGAAGTAGAGCAGGGACAGTCAAAGATGGAGGCTGGCCCTCGGCTCCAACAGTCTGACTCCAGTTTCCTCATCTACTGAGTGAAATCTGCCTCCTTTGGTGCAGGAGGGCGATCAGATGTCATCAAACCCCTGAGTCGCTGCTCTGCCTTATTACTGGACTTATGTAAAACATTAATTGGAGCATCATTTCACTAAGTCTCATGGCCAGTCACACCTGGCCAGCACCACTATCACCACACCTCTCTAATATAACTATAATAGTAGTCCTACGCCTCTCTGCTTCAGGGCTCATTCACCATTTGGGACACAGTGTCTTCTTGTATCCACTTTTATCTGTAATAACCCCAGGACAGACACCGTCATATTTCATCTTCTCTGCGAATCTTAAATGATCTTTTTCTTCCCAACTCTTTCAAAAACTTCCTCAACTACATTCCCCCATTTCTTTCCCCTTTTCTCCCTGCATTTTCATCAAACTCTGTCTCCCCTTCCCTGCAGGGTTTGGACTCATCTGGAGATATGATCATAGGCAGATGTACAATAAAACTTGAGGGGAATAAATTTGCCCCTAATTGAGAGAAATGATGTAATATTGATCCCCAGGCCTGTGAACCTTTGGCATCGGTGAAGCGTGTCTGTGGAGCCCGTGACATTTAGAGGAATGGCTGGGGTGTATGAAAGAGGGGGGGTGTGTTATTGGAGATACTGTAGGTGATGCTGCCGCAGAGAGGTTTGACTTTGATTCTTTTCTCCCTTAAAACTCAAAAAACCTGGCTGATGCAGAGCAGGGCAGACACTGATGTTTGTCTAAATGTTCATTCAAGTTCATCCTCACCTCTACATTTTGTACAATTCTAAACCAAAGTCATCTGGGATTTATTTATCTTCAAATACTACATAATGTATTAAACACCCATTAGTGTTTTTAAAAATGTCTTTCTTCCTGTAGAAACAAAAATATTCCCTAAAATATCACTGAGAGACAAATTCAAACACTCAGAAAACATTATTTTGGCCTTTGTCTAATTGGCTTAAGCACAGTATTAACCTTTAACTAGTAAAGCACAACATCACAACTTTCCTCCCTTTTTTTATATATATATATATTTTCTTCTTTTTTTGTATTAAACATAAATAAATCTTCAATTTTCCTGAAACAACAAGGTTTCCTGGGCCGACAACTCGCAATATTCATGTCTCAAGTGAGAACAAACCAAAATCAATTCTCTTCACGGCTGCTTCATATTTACCACCCTTCTCTGGGACACATGGTATTTACCCTAAACATGATCTATCACACACTGAGGCTCCATCTCGCTGGAGATTACGATCAGGACAAGCACGGAAATTTCATTATCAATCATTAGACGTGGAAAATAACTCCCGACCTAATGTGAGACGATTCCAAATATAAAGAGGAAGAAATCTATACACGGTCAGGAGAAGAATGTGTTCCGGAACGGTCGGCATGTTTATGGTTTGACGAGGGCAGACGTTTATTTGCTCCTATACTTTAGTATTCTATGCCTTCCTAATGACAGTCTAATGTACAGAGAGCAGTTGATACAGTTTATCACAACTAACCTTTAAATGGGCTTTCTCATGCTTTGACATAGAAATGAATCTAAAGTTTCTGTCAGACGGAGCAAACGTGTCTGAGCCACTAGTTATTTGGTAAAATTCAGCCAGTAAGATGGTTTGGCAGGTCAGCTAACAACGCCACAGGTTTGACTGTTCTGTGAAGCTGCACATCTCCAACAACTCCAACTGCATCAGAATGACAGGAAAACATCCGTGTTTCCCAGTTGAATGAGAACTGGAAGAAGAACAGAGGCCATAAAACCAGTTCTGACCAATCCTCAGTCTCAGTCTAAACATCACTCACGTATGAACAAAAACACACGGATCAGAGCGAGGATACAGATAAATGTTCTTCATAGATTCGTGTACTTGGAAATAAGAAACATTTTCTCCTTTTCAACATGTAGAAAAAAATAATGACCAATATTGGAACTGAAAGAGAAGGAAAAAGAAAAATGCATTTTATCCTTTGTCATTTGAGAACAACCACCTTCTAATGCCAGTCTGTTGTGTTCACGGACCGTGACAAATTTTACTTCAAAAGCCGCCTCCATCATGACCCATTTTTCCTTCTACCAACAGCTGAGGTTTTTTGCCCAACGAGGCACAAAGCGGAAACGTTCCCATGGGACTCTGCATGCATCAAAACCAAACGAGGTAAAGCAAAGACTGTACTGCTGAAAGGCAATTGAAGTCATTGATCACAAATTTGGAAGTGGTGAGAAAAGATACTGCGTGGTTTGTCAAAAGTACTCATCTGATGTTTTAGTGACTCATCACAGCTGAGTAATACAAGCTGCATTCACGGTTATTAATGTCTAAATCCTTCTCAACACATTTCCAGCCATTACCAGATAGAGGCTGCCTGCGTGATACAAAGAACCTTTCTAGAACAAACGTCTGCGTCAACCGTCAAATGATTCAACAGCTTCAGCTGAATGAGAGAAATTCATGTGAAACCGATGTCTCCAAACATCAGTTTGCACTGGTTTTCTGTCTGATCATCCAAAGGTTTTGGTGCTGCAGTTGAATCGATGAATCAGGAAGAACACTGTAATCCACTGGACACATGATCATTTTTTTGGTGCATGTATCTGCTGCACTGCTGCCGATTCAGAATAATGCCTTCACAGATGTGTAGATGTGAACAGCCCTGAGGAGGCACAGCACAAGATGGGGGTCTGGGAGGAGGAGGAAGCAGCAGAGGCAGCAGCAGCAGCAGCAGCAGCGTGTTCTCACAGCCACGGAGTCAAAGTCATTCATCCACAGATGTGACAAGTGACTCATCCTCTTATTCTTTCTCCTGCAACCCCCCGGAAAATGTAGGAAAAGGGGGAAAAAGATTGCACCAAATGGGAATAATCTTAAGGTCTGGTTCTAACCAGTTGGATGAGAACGACTTGAAATAATCTGCTCAACTGCTTCACTCCTTGAAATCACCACAACTTCAACTCTGCAACATCAGTCTGATTCATTTCTCATTAGAGGACTTTCAAACCAGCAGAGGTGAGGTGACACGAATGAAGCTTTTCAAGCTTTTTTTCCCCGCCTCTGTCCTTTTGGTGTGAAGCCCCCATTAGAGGACTCTCTGTGTCCATTCCACTCAGCGTCCTTTTTCAACTGTTCACCGATTCTCCATCGAATATATACAAAGCTCTTTATTGTGTGAATCGATCTGCAGTTTGCCTTAACAAATATGCAAACTGTTTATTTCTATTGACTTCAGTAGAGATATAACACAGCAATAATGTAGACTTAGACAAACTCACAATTAGCTTTGAATTTAGCCATTTGTTTTTAGACTAAGAAAATCTCGTCGCTTGTAAACAAACAGATATATTTAGCTCTGAGCCCTGCGTGACCACCTACATAGACCTTAATTACAGGTAAAGTAATTATAATTTTACCTGTAATTAAAATAATATTAAATTATAATTAAATGTAAATAAAGTACAGCTGTGTTGATTAAAGTAATGTGTTATGTACAAAACAGGACTTATCAATCAACTTTATGGAAAATAACTCCATGCCAGACATATGAGAGTTGGTCAACTTTGTCAGTGACAGCTGCAAAACCATGTAAGCTACTGAAGTTTGAAAAAAAAAAAAGTTGCCTTACCTAGAGCCACCTCAATGACGTTCATTTCACTCTCTGACGGGAAAAGGATTTTCGGGGGCTTCTCTGTGAATGGGGCTGTGGAAAAACAGAGAAAAATAAAAAAAGTTAACATTTATCACTTAAACAAATATACATAAATTAGGACCATGATAAGCAAAACATGCTGAAAAGACATTTAGCATAAACAACAGAATACAATCATTGATTTAAGGCTTCAACCATCAATGCCATTTGCTGCGCAGCTGTAGCTGTTTGAATGTTGATGATATTGACTTGAGTACAATGTGCAAGAGATTATGTGTCTCTGAGAAGGACTTCAATGCACACCGTTACTGTTTAACCTCAACTGGAGTGAGTCAATGCTGCTGCTGCAGAAAAATTCAATATCAGCTAATGTGACGAGAATGAACGCTGCTTTAAAATACCTCCTTAAAAGCCAGTCGTAGCCTTTGGCATGTGTCGTGTGGTCTGTGTCAGGGGCTGCAAGAAACTTTAGTATTGCACCTGTGGCCTTCAGACCGAGTGGCCTTGAGACCGGAGATACTGTATGTTATCCATTGCAGAGACCGGAGATACTGTATGTTATCCATGAGGCGCTAAGTCCCAGTTTAGCTTCTGACCATGTGGTGGCAGTAATGCAGTTCTCTAACAAGCTCCAATATGAAGAAGAAGACTATCTTCTTCTCTGCACTAGCTGTAGCAGGAAGTATGGAGACATTTTTAAGTGAAAAACTTTGTACAGTGATTCAAATATTACATTTATTTAATACCCTATCATCTTAAAGTGAAGAGCAAATATAGGAATGTATAAAACATACGTAATTCATGTGTTAAAAAAGTTAAAAAAATATTAAAAGCTAATGTGTTTGTTGAGGAAAATTGAACATCCCTGAACTAATTACAGAGCACTGGGAATATGTCGACAAAATATGCAAAAGTACAACTCAACACACAAACACATCCCAGGTGTTGAGAAGGTATTTGAAGCTCCGTAAGTGTGTGTAGATAACAAATTGTGTATCAACTGAAAAAGGCTTTTTTTTTCTTCTTTTTTTTATGCCTGACCACAGTCTCACTGTTGTTACAATTTCAGAAGGTGAGCCTTCTCTTCTATAAATAGGGACTGGAACAAACTGGGACTCAGCTGTATAATTTCAACAAAAGGCCGCCTTCTATAGCTAATGTGGTGTTTTTCAGGAGCATAACACGATGCTCAAGGACAGAAACATTGCTCAGAACACACAGAAACAATTTTAGAAATCAGTTGCAAAGCTGCAAGGTCCTTATTCCTGGAGAATTGATATTGCCAGCAGGAGCAAACAGGCTCTGAGGTACTATACACACAACCAGCATGACCTGCTTCCCTATACAACAAAGGAGTGCACGCACGCACATTAAACACACACACACACACACACTTAAGTACACACATAAACAGTAGAGGATGTTTTGTTGTTGATAAGCTGTGTAGGATATCTTGACTGTGTCCCTCACAGGACCCGCTGAGGTCGACTCCTGCTGTGATCACATGATGATGGATGTTGAAATGAAGGAATGGAATTGACACAAAGACCTTGTTCTTTCTCATTAACTCCACCAATGGCTTCTGTCCATCCCTGTCCGTCTGCTGCTCACTGCACATATCTGTTGACCGTGCCTCGAGTTAAAATCAGGGGAGGAAGAGGAGTGAGTTGAGATGGAGGGGGGTGGGGGGGTCGTCTGTTCACACCTCATTAAAAAGCACTTTCGCACATGTAGGTGGAGATGAGTGTGTGTGTGTGTGTGTGTGTGTGAGAGAGAGACTCAAACCTTGTTTAAAACCAGGTTCTGGTGTGAGTGAACCAAACTTCACTCCACTCCACTTGATGATTTGATTTAGTTTCATTAGGTGATTTAAAAACATTTCATTTACCTCACATTGTTTAACTTATGTGTACATTTTGCTGTTTGGTCACAGTGAGGTTTGGTTAGTGTTTAAATAGGAAATGCAGCTAGGACAGTTTTTGGGGTGATTATGATTTCTGATTTTTTTGGGGGTGAGACTTGCCATGTTGCCATTTTCTGTTTCCTTCTGTTGACAGCATATACAAAAAGTTAACTTTTCTTCAACCCTAAATTTCATTTTCATAACAAGTCATTATAAAACTCTTTGCACAAACTGCACTTAGTCACACTGTACTTAAATGAAGTGTTTAATAAATCGAATGTTGTAGAGAAATGGTTCCCTGTGCAGCACACTTTCTGAAGAACAAGAGGTGTGCAATCAAAAATATCTGCAGTTTATATTATTTTTGTAGTGATTTTAGGAAAATAAAAACAATGCATAACATTTTTTTTTAAATAAATTGAAAACCTTATAAAGAGCTTTTCACTCTGAACATATGCCATTTCTTTAGCATTAGCAATTAGCTTTTGTAAAGAAAACCCACCGGCTTTGTTCATTTAGAAGATGTTGTCTTAAGAGTCAGTTCAGGTTTTTGTTGTTTTTGTTTTTACTAATGTAAAATTCATGATTTACCCAGAATTTCAGACAAAGTTCATTAGATTCAACTGACAATGAACATATTGATATTATATGTTATATGGTAGAGCAGCAGCAAATATGTAAGGTTTATTACCTTAAGTACTTGCTGTTGCTCTACCATTAAAAAAAAATACTACATAGGATAAAAGAAAAAAAAGAACTATTAGGGGAGCAATAAGAACAGTTATATGACCAAAGTACATTTGGGCCGCACAGAACAGGGTGATAAAAAAACAAATAAATTAGCATCTGAAACTGTGAAAGTATTCAGTGTTTTTTCCCTTTGTCTAAGGTAAATGAACCAACATTGCCAGCTGAAAATTAGTGAAGCGTTTTATCACTGTGCTGTTTCTGCTCTGCTGCACTTCTCAGTTTATCATATTTCCTCTTGTTCCTGAAGACAGCGGAGAACACAAATTGCATCATCAGCATGCAAACTTTATGTTCAGTGTAACAAGCCTATAATGTCAAGTTATGACTATTGTATCTTTGTAATTTCACAAATACGCCGTAAGTTTATCGAACCAATGCAATGGAAAAATGTTTTCAGATCATTTAAAGATCGCCACATGGCCAAAAAATAGAAAACTTGTTAATGGTATGAAAAATCTTTCAGAATTAATTAGACATTAAAGCCTTCTACTGGTTTTCAAATGTCTGCAATATTAAAAATGTAGTATTAGTTTTAATAAAAGTATAATTTGTGAAAAGCACACTAAGTTGTCTAGATATCGACTTGAACTTTATAATTTCATATTAAATGTTTTTATGTAAATATAGAAATGCAGAAAAATTAAATAAAGTTTGTCAAATAATTTCATCGATATTACACGTTTTTAACAAAACACCAAAGTTGTCAGACGATGTCACTTTTATCCTGTGTCATGGGACCGTGAGGAAGTTACTTTATTTTTTTTTGCACTTGTGATAAAATAACTGTGATTTCAGCAGCAACCCCTGCCGGAGGGAAGTGGAGGGAAATGGAGCAGAGTGGAGAGGACTGCAGTTCCCACAAGAGCTCGGTGACGGAGCTCTGGGAGTTGAACCACACCAGGAGAAAAATGGGGTTACTTTACGACAAAGGACAAATCTGAGACCTGGATTCAGGTTCCTTTACAAGTTCTACTTTTGAATTCCAGGTGGGATTTCTGGGATTTGGTGAGGGAATTTATCACTGTTGTGTAAAATTGGACCTTAATGTCTCGCGAACCTGCACGAGATGACGAGTTTAAAAACCAACTGCGAATAAACATGTTTTCATCCATTTGATAAATGAACTAATATTTATATCCTTGTTACTGGCAGTATCTGCGAGACCCCACACCTTGGAAGAACTACAACGTCATTACATGAACCTGCTGCAGTTATGGTGTTTGTTCAAAAACACAGCCTGCAGAGATGCCCGACTGAAAACCTTGAATCAAGAACGAGCATTTTTCTGTATTTGTGAGCGAACAAAGTTGAATAGAATTCTGAATTCTTACAGGAAATATCCACAATTTTCTTTGAAATTTAGGCTGTCGTATTCTAACAACAGACTGTAGCTTTGAATGGAGGCAGTGTGCAGCATTAAATTTAGGCTGTCGTATTCTAACAACAACCAGGAGACTTGAAGTTTACGTTAAAAACACCGGAATCTTCTTAGGCTACTGTTGGCTGCTGTTGTACGAAACAACGTTTTTTCCTACATCAATGTCCACATTTGCAGGTGTTGTTTCTGTCAGATGTTTAACAGTGAAGTGAAGTTTTTACACTGGGACTTCACTATTTAAACTGCAATCACTTTGAACACAATGGAAACATGAAAAAACAAAGGTCATCACAAGGTCACACAACCTTTATATTCAGTTGCACCTGACCTGTTAGAGGAACAACAACAGTCAGATCTGGACTGCAGGAAGGCCAGTCAGGCACATGTACCCTATAAACACAGACTGCTGAGCCTCTAAAGCTGTTAATACTGCCAGGAGAGGCAAATACTCAAATTAAAAACCACAATGAGAAGTTTTTAAATGATTGAGTGTGTTATTATGACTGTTAAATGTTATTATTTAATTGAGAAAATTATTTAGATTAAAATGTGTGATGCATTGTAAACCATGGGCGACGTGATGCACACACAGTATAACAACAACACTACACTCCATCCACTTATAGCCTCACTTGACGCAGGGAAGTAAACAACAGCTCCAGCTGACAAGCTGACTGACACAACTGTACTAATGCTATGAGAGCAGCTCTCGACCCAACCACTGTCAGGATGCACAGTAATGACTAAAACCCACCAACTCTATGAAGCTAAATATGGATATACATGTACTCTACATATACATATATATGTATTTTTTTGTATCTGCTGTTATTTGTCTTTCCATTCTTTGTCATATTTGGGAATTTGTCTTACGTTTAATCATGATAATCCACAGTTACCCTGTAATTATTCATAATTTCAAACAAATGTGTCTTTCAGACTTCTATGCTTACAGAATAAAGTCTAAAAGATGTTTTATTTTGAAAATGTACTGATCCTTAACAACACTTTAATGGTCAG